ATTAATCTGCTCCGAACCCCCCAAACACCGCGATATTTTTGTCACATGTTTTTGAATAAGAGAAATGTACTTACAAATAACGAATATTGTATAAAAAAAACACACAATAGATCGCACTGCAACACACAGGTTTCAATCATCTATAAAGTACAGCATTTTTAACTTGAAGATGCTGACGGTGGAGAAAAAAAAAGGCTGAACTGTGAATAACTTCATCTTATTCTCTGATTTTTGCCTTTTCCGCCATGCTTTCCTCCCTTTCATCTGCAGCGGTTTTCGGTAAAACAGTCAGGTCTGTTTCATCCTTTCACCTTTAAAAAGTTTGCATAATAAAAAAGTCTGTCTAACATTCCCACATTCCTTTGTTCGCCTTGAGATAACCTCCTCCGCGTCACCTATTTCCTGCAAAACCTCCGTGTGCTGCTGCGTCTGTAGTTCCTCCGTTGTCCGTTCCTCAGTGGTCCTCGATGAGCTCACTGACGTCACCTTCATCCTTGTCTAGGCCTATGGACTTGCCTCCACCACTGCCGCTGTCACCCTTCATCTTGTCCTTGCCTCCGCTTCGGGTTCGAGTCTTTCGACGTCCGTTTCAGCCATACCCTCAGGCCACAGCTTCTCCCACGCAGAGGTCAAGGTCCACTTTGCCACACCCCGCCAGGCCATATCGATAATTTCTGAGGCGTATCACGATGCTATAGAGATTCTCGAAGGTGAGGTTTGTGCTCTCCGTCAACCTCAAAGCAGCGGCGGACCAGGTTCTTGGCGAAGAGCTTTTTGGGATTAGAAATCACCTGCTGGTCCCTGGGCTGCAGGAGAGGAGTGACGTTGGGTGGACGGTAGAGAACCTTAAACTTGAACTCTTCGAGGATGTCATCTTCGAGGTTAGGTGGGTAAGAAGGTGCACTGTCTAGGGCGAGGAGGACTTGCAGAGGCAGGTTATCCTCCGGGAGATATTCCTCAACGTCAAGACCTAATACCAATTTCACCCATTCCACAAAGACCTCCCTGGTGACTTACGCCTCACTTAACCTCCTCCACATAAACCGGCAATTTTTTCCAAGAATCTTACGTGACAACAACCGAACGAGTGAGACACCGGATGACGTTGCGGCGTCCATCGGGGTTCGCCGTGCGCGCAATGAGCAGTGGGATCTGAAGCGCTCGGAACCCTATTCTAGCTCTCAGCAAAAAAGCAAAAAATCGGCCAAGGACGGCTCTTCAGTCAAGCTACATGTATATACACATACACACGCACCACACACACACTTCACACACACACGCGCGCCGCGCGCATACACACACACACACACAATATATATAATATATATATTATATATATATATATAATATATATAAATTATTATATATATATATTACATACACATAAAAATGCACACATACATATATATACACATATATGTGTGTGTATGTGTATATATATATAAATATATATATATATATATAATATATATATATATATAAATAAATAAATTAATATATATATATATATATAATAATATATATATTATATATATATATATAATAGCCATGCTGTACGGCCGGTTTGTTAAAATTGTGCCAGGCTCGACCCAATGAATATTTGTATAAACAGACATCTACATACACGGAAATAAAATGCATATCTATCGATCTACCAAATACATATATATTCATTTTTTTCTATCTGCACGGTAGATATGTATGTCTAGGCTGACAGAAATGCATTTATTTCTGTGTATGTGCATGTCTGTCTCATGAAAGTCTATTAGGTCGGGCCGGTAGAGTAGAATAAGGGTAACACCAGTAGTTTTTTTTTTTCTAATCCAGCCCTCATAGAATAATAAAAAAAAATTAATGCATGAGTTCATTTTTGTCACTAACATCGAGGGAGTGGTAGTGGCGTAGCTATACTCCTCAGGTTTCATTAAAATATAAAATGTATAAAATGAAATAACTTATTTACTTGTTTAAATTTGCACTAATTGTTTTTTGCCTGTACAAAACGTGTACATTTAAACGGAATTTACAAGCCTCGTTGGTGTCCCTCCTCCATAAGGTCCCGAGGGAATTCGTCCCTTTGCCATGCCAGTGGGCCGGATGGAGGGGGGTGGGGGGAATGAAAATGGTAGGGGTTTAACGACAACAGTATGACTGGCGAAGATAAATGGTTGTTATGCTGAAACGCAACATAATGATAGTATGACACACACTCGTAAGACATGGGGAGACATGCTGGGGTTATACGATGAGAAATGTAATGTGCGTGCAATATGTGACAAGTCGCTGTGCGTATCCCTTTACCATTTGATAAATTGTGATAGTGAGATACTTTTCGTTCACTAAACGCACTACAGACAATACGAAGAGACAAAGTGTTGTGATTTTCATATGCACTGCATGCACCGTTATTCTTACTGCAGCTTTGGTAATGGTTGACAGCCATTTAAATTCCAAGAGGCGGTAAATTCGGAAGTGACACCTAACACCGACTTCCGGCTGAAAACCGTTTTTTTTTTTTTTTTTTTTTTTTTTTTTTTTTTTTTTTTTTTTTTTTTGAAAGCGATAAATTCGGAAGTGACACCTAACACCGACTTCCGGCTGAAAACCGATTTTTCTGAAAGCTATCGCTGTGCTTCGAACGAATCTAGTAATCATTTCCATCGCAGACGAAGCACAGCTACGATATCGGTCCCGTCATCTGGGGAGGACATGGCAACTATTAAGGAAATTGCGAGGTAAAAGCAAATGGTCGAAGTTAAACTTTCAGTAATTCAGTTATTGCGAAGCACATTCGTAGTAAATGGAGGCTTTGCCCCCTAACTCCCTTTCAGGAGGGGCTCCCTAATCTGCAAAATCTTCACCTCGAGTGTTCCGACAGGACTGACCTCGGGCAAATATCTGGATCTCACGCCGATTTCTAACCTTGACCAATAAACCCGCCATGACCAACCTGCGAGTCGTCAAAATCGTCGTCATCGCTGCCGGCGGGAATTGCGACCTCTATCCGCTCTTTTTCGTTATTGCCATGAAATATTACATGCCAAAGGCGCAAGACCACTTTACACAAACCCTAGCAATAACAGAACTAATTCAAAATTCAACGGACTTCCCTTTGGGTCCAGCTTCTATTGTCACGTGATTATCTATTACAAATCTTATTGGCTCTCATAGACTGATCGCCAGAGTCTATTGACACGTCACGGCCATATGCAATTCCCATTGGCTCATTTGAATTCCTCCCTTACGTCATCCGCTACGACTGTTTCGTCTTCTCGCCAATGAAAGTATAATGGAGCGCCTAAATTTTTAGTTTTACACCCTTTCTCCTACTCTTATTATTAGTTGGCGAAGGAAATGCTATAGGAGAAGAGCGTTTTAGAATGTTACGTTCAATCGGACAAGGTCAGATTTTTTTTTTTTTTCAATTTTGGTGTTCTGCGCCATTTCCAATGATACCCAAAATGTTTTACTTCATCGAGAACACGAGAACATTCTTGCTTGCCGCCACTGTCAGTTTGTAATCAAACCCTCGACCAACGGAGATGCCATCAAGAGTCAGAGTTTCATCCTTGGACCCGTAATGACAGCAGCTACTGACGCTGCGCAAGTTTGCAGAGTTGGGCAAGTGCACACTCAAGATCATACTTTTATGGCAGAGCACACTTGAAAAAAGAGCGCGGTCACCATAAATGTTGCGTAAAAGGGCGTGACACCAGTGTTTATATAATATAATTCCAATTAATCATCAGAATATGAACCAGCAACAGAAATAGACGAATTATAAACGAAACTGAAATGTAAGTCAGACCAATTAAACAATTCTAAGATAAAAGCAAAACAACAATGTCACAACTGTCTGTACAAATGAAGTGCACACAAAATTTCAAATGCACGCTTGCGTACATGAATTTTTGCTTGTGCACACGAGAAACCGGTCACACTCAACAGACTGGTGCTAGAAAAAGTAACACCAGGAAATTTCAGTTGGCGCCCTGATGAGTGCAAGGATATTGGCACATCTGGTAGTCTTGCTATATTAAGAAAGGCGGCCATAGTGTGGTGATGTAATATTGCTGTAGTCTAATGGCGTGGAAAGCTATGGCGCTTCTATTTATTTTCTTCTTCTTTTATTTATTGAACAAGGTGACTTGTGCCAAATGGCGGAAACGCTTAAAACTGAAAATAGTGGAATCGTACTGGATTATATCTATATCAAATTTTTGTTTATTTATAAGCACTGTACTCATCGATAAAAACTAGCGATAATTTATCCTAGTATATCCTCAAATGAGTCCAATTTTCTTTTACAAACGACAGAAAACGTTTCCAATAGGTAAGGGGGGACCACATAAAATACCTAAAGTGAAAAGGAAGGAGAGGGAGGGAGGGAGGGGGGGGGGGAGAGAGAGAGAGAGAGAGAGAGAGAGAGAGAGAGAGAGAGAGAGAGAGAGAGAGAGAGAGAGAGAGAGAGAGAGAGAGAGAGAGAGAGAGAGAGGGAGAGGGAGAGGGAGAGGGAGAGAGAGAGAGAGGGAGAGGGAGAGGGGAGAGAGAGGGAGCAGGGAGAGGGAGAGGGAGGAGAGGGAGAGGAGAGGAGGGAGGGAGGAAGGGAGGAGGAGGGAGGAGAGAGAGAGAGAGAGAGAGAGAGAGAGAAGAGAGAGAGAGAGAGAGAGGAGGAAGAGAGAGAGGAGAGAGGAGAGAGAGAGAGAGAGTGGAGAGGTGAGAGTGAGAGAGAGAGAGAGTGAGAGAGAGAGAGAGAGAGAGAGAGAGAGTGAGAAGAGAGAGAGAGAGAGAGAGAGAGGAGAGAGAGAGAGAGAGAGAGAGAGAGAGAGAGAGAGAGAGAGAGAGAGAGAGAGAGAGAGAGAGAGAGAGAGAGAGAGAGAGAGAGAGAGAATCACTGAGGCAGAGAGAGAACAAAGCCATTACAAAATACTTTTCTATCTAGCCACCTAGTGTCCCGTTCGGTAAATTACAAAATAAATTCCTCCTTAACTCAATGACCA